TTTGTGTTGAGAGTATTAATGGGACGACTATTTTGTGAATAAATTGTCTAAAGAGTAAAACAGATGAGCGAAGGGATGGTTAAGTCAAGCATTGAGTGATATATATTTCCGCAAAATAGAGATTTCTCTTTCGGGCGCTCATCCGACTGAGTGAGCGATCGGAGAGAGAGAGAGAGAGAGAGAGTAAAGGAGAAAGTTAGGGGTGATTATCAGTTACATATACTCTGTACACCCTTTGGACTCAACCGCGATCTAAATGTTAGCTACAATTAATATTTTCTAACTAAATAATAAACGCCACGTATTGGTGCCTTACATTAAAAGAAAAATGTCCCTGTTATCAAATTATTGGTTATTAAACGAAAGCAAAATTATCGCAAAAAAATATTTTCCAATTTAAATAACATGTAATAAAAAGGGGTCCAAACGGTAGATCTAAATGTGAAAGAGTATTATTAAATCGGAAAAATAGACCAAATTTTTTATAGCGCTGGCGATACCATAGAGAGGCGGGCCGTCAATGCATGCGCGCCGTTGTGTACGAGTGCTGTGCGTAATATTCTGTTGTTTCTTAAGCACAGACACAGGCATACAATCTCTTCATTTTTAAGGTATCTTAAAAATCTCCACTTCACTGCCAGTCAGCTCCCGACTACCAGTCCTTCCAAGTCCTCTATCTCTCTGTCTCTCTAACTGTAATATAAAAAATCAAATCTTATTTTTGATTTTTACTCAAAAAATACCACAAATCGTAAGTTTTTTTAATGTGGTTAATTAATCGCCGCTTGATTTATGTCTTTACACATAAAAACCCTTTTCAAATATGCATTTGTAATAATTTGTAACGTCTTTAATAAATTAATTAAATAATGATAAATGTGTTTTTTCGATATCGATAACTAATGATTGTATTTTACTGTTAACTTTGATCGATATATGATATATAGATACAAGTGTAGAAAGATGGTCGATCAGGCAGTTTTGGACAAATTGGAGGCCGGATACAAGAAGTTGCAAGACTCGAGCTCTTGCCACTCGTTGCTCAAGAAGTATCTGACCCGCGATGTCTTCGATAAGCTTAAGACCCGACAGACAGCGATGGGCGCAACCCTTCTCGATGTCATCCAATCGGGTATCTAATCGT